TTTAATTTTTCATTCCAACCCCTCTCTCTCTCTCTCTCTCTCTCTCTCTCTCTCTTCTATGGTTGAATTTTGAGGGCGGATTTTGGTGCAACGAGACCTAAGTTTGAGTCACGGACTTGCAAAATGGCTCTAAATATGTGAAGAAAAAGTGCAGTTTGAAATGATTTCTGCTACATTGTTGTGCCCAATTATCTTTGTTCCTTGTGCCTCTACATTTTTTGTTTTTTAAATTGTGCCTCTACTCCTTGCAATATTCCTTTCCAATAATTTTTCTACCATTTCTACGCCCCCAAAAAAGAAAAGGATTAATGACACTTTTGGTCCCTAAAGTGTTCTAGATTTATTAGTTTGGTCATCATTGTATTAATTTTGTCAATTTGATCTCTAATTAGACAATTCGTTACGTGACATTCTTTCAGACGGTATCATGTGTCAAACTGTCAAACATGTGATCATTCCCTCAAAAATTTAACAGTTCGTTAATGTAGGGATCATTTAAATACGAATTAAATATTTTAAGAATCAAATTGATAAAATTAATATTTTAGGGACCAAATTAACAAATCATACATACTTTACGGACCAATAGTGTTATTAACCCCCCCCCCCCCCAAAAAAAAAAAGGCAAAATCCACTTTATCCCCTTGTGGTTTGGGTATTTTGCACATTACCTTCTTATGCTTTTGGACCGATATTTATCATCTTCCTCTCTCCAACTGTAGCCTAATTTTCTGAAAAAACAACCGACCACCCAATTTTACAAGTTTTTCTCTCTCCACAAAGTGTCAAACTTGTTCAAACTAATGTCAATATCCTCCACTCTTAAATTAGTTTTAAACCCCACAGATTTGTTTCCTTAAATAGCCCCTATGACCCACGAATTTAAGCTCAAAGATGATCACAAACTCATTTTGATAAGTTATATACACACTAGAATTTTTTCAACATTTGGGCCAAGTTTGACACTTAATTTCTCCCTCGTTTCTCAACCTTTTTGGGTGATTCAAATGCCTAATTTAACTTCTTTCTACCCTCTTTCCAACCATGTATTTAATTTGTCCAAATCATGCACAAGGTAAGTGAAAATCGAGCTCCAAAGTGATAGGTTCATCATTTTCAAAAATTATCACGATTTTTAATTCAATTTTTCACCCACCAAACCTCATTCTTTCTCGATTCTAACTTCAAAAATGGATTCCTTGATCCTAAAAATTGTGGATTAGGCCCCCCTTCACCTCCGAAACTCGAAATTTTGAATACCCAAAAATTCAAGTTTCAAACTTAAACAAGGGTTTTGATTTTCTCTCACTATACACCATGGCCACTAAAAAACCTTTAGGAAATTGTTATTGAATATGAAAACAAACTTACCCTATCACAGAATTGTGGATGATACCTTGTAGTAAAAGTTCTCTTTTCAATTAACAACTCAACACTCATCTCAAAACCCATTTGAAAATCATTTGCAATTTTTCATTCGAAGTTTCTGATAGAAACTCATACCCAACACTAAGTGCGAATATATGAAAATTAAATGGTGAGTATGTTTTAAAAGGTTATTAAGGTAGTCAACATATTTGGAGAAAGCGTTTTTCATGGAAGAGGACTCAGTGGTCACTGATCACTGTTCTTGGCTTCTTTGCTGCGCTTTGTAAGGTCGACTTAGAGAGAGAGAAAGAAAAAAAGATTACATTGACGAAGGCGCTAGGGTTTGGAAGCCATGAGGATGAGCTTGTGGAAGGCGGAGGAGTATAACATCTGTTAACATAGGATCATTTTTGACATTTGGGTATATTTATTTTGGAGAGAAGCTGATAACTTTGTTGATCAATCGCCAAACCAGCACGTCCTCTCCACGTCCGTCTATTTTGACGAAATATCTAACAGTTGCAGTTTAGTCCACAACTATAAAGGGGTGATGTGCTTATTTCCAAATGATAAGGGGGTCATCTGCTCAAGGCACAAACTACAAGGGGGTAAACTGGAATTTGCCCCAAAAAAAAACGAACATAAGCTTTGTTCGTAACAATGAAAAAGTATTCCTGCTAAATTATTCTGATATCATTTCAAAAGATTGTTGTTTAAGGTCCTATTTTGCTCTTTTTAAGACAAGATCAACTATCAATAATCCAACTCCAATTGTAAACTAGATCAACAAATTAGAGCATTTAACCAAAGAAAAATTCAATAGAAATGTCGTGAATATTCACTAATCATCCTGTAATTATGAATATGTCCCACCATTTGGTACAAAAAATAAAAAAAAACCCAACAGAATTCATAGCTAGAATTGCTTAATGACGTCATAATTTTGTTTTTACGAGTTTTCTGTGTTATTTAACAATGTATAATCTCACATGTTTTTATCAATTATCAAGAGGCTTAGCATACAGATACTATGGTCTGCAAACAATTACTCGTCGCCAATGCTTAAGAGTGAGTATAAAGGCGGTTATGATAAGCGATTTCAGAGAACAAAACATCTGTTACAAATTATCAAGAAGCAAGGCTATGTAGCAGAAAGCATCACTCTACCGTGGTTCCAAAGTATGAGAAGTATTGGTGAGGCGATGCTAGTCTCGTTCCAAGAATTCCAAAAGCAATCTAAAAATGTGGTTTGTATCTCACTGTTCCTTTCGAGCTTTAGATCTGACTGGCTTCGCTGGTTTAATTATGTTTCCAAGAAGGATCAGTGCTATGGGAACAACGGTTCCAATGTAATATACACTTCCATACGAAGCAAGTGTTTCATGCAGGCTTAATACCTGTAACAGAGAAGGAAATACTTTTTTTAAGCTTTTACAATTCTTCTCATGCAACCACAAATAATAAAAAAGAAGAAACAGAAACAGAATATGAATAAGGAAAAAAGACTAACCATGAAACCAACACAGGAATAGTTCAGAACCAGAAGCGTGTAAGCGAAGTTCAAAAACACAAGTATCATTTTCAATAAAGCCGTACTAGTAGCTTGCTGCCATCTGTAAATGACTGCTCATAAAACAAAAAAAAAATAGTAGCAAGGCATTTGTAAGAGAAGAGATGCTTAACTAGTGGAATAAAGCATAGTCTAAGAAAGGGAGGCCTGATTGTTTACCTCTTGAACCAGCAATCATCAAAGCAGATTGTACAAAGAATATGATGTACCCAGGATATAATCCCTATAATGTGATGTTACCAATGGAATAAGTTGTTTGAATGGTTGAAGAACAAATTATTTTGACAAGAAAATGTGCAGCACAGAGATATATATGCTAAGATGTCTGAAATGATAATAGTAAGTAATACCGATGGGAGAAGCATTGATTTTATTTTTATTCTTTTCATTTACAGAAATAATAATTTAGAAGCTTTTAGAATGGTTACCAGTGGGTGATAAACAGAGAATTAAAGTTAATTGAGACAAAATTGTGAAACTTTGTGGACAGCATCATGCTCTTGATCCATAATTCCAATAGTTGGTTTCTGGCGTGATGAGTCAAAGAAGGTTCGTACGTGCAAACATAAAACGTAAAACAGGTGATGAATCACAAGGACAAGGTTTTGTGTGAGAAAGAACGAATAAGAAAGGTAACATTAATCAGAGGGAAAAACAGGTCATGGGTTGCATTGGGATTAAACCCGTCCAAAATGGATAATTATCTCATGATTCATGAAAACCTTATCGTAACAGTCTAAAGCACAGACATGGACACAAGTAGACAAGTAGACAAGTTCAATAGCCTAGAGATTGATATCAACTCACAGAAGTTGCATCAAAGGTCAATTGGAATCCAAATGCCAATCTCCTATATCAGCTCCCATAACTCCAATCAATATCAGGACAGAAATGGAAAAGAATAACTAGTCAATCACAGCTCATGTGCTAGTTTTCTGGGGCGAGAAAATAAAGTCGCCACATATCCATCTAGTTAAGAACTGAAAGATGTGATTTTTGAGTCTTTATCATTAAATCATGCCCAGAGACAAAGAATGCATCTACTACAGAAGCAGAACAATAGTATTGGAACCGTCAAATACATTTGGAAATTGACTTGTTGGAATTTAAACAAATGCTACTCATCAATCAATACACAAGCAGAGTATTGATTCATTAATAGATATAAAAGCATTTTCAGGCCGGTAAAATATGGATTTTATACTTACATGCCAGACTGCACTGACCGTCTGCGTAGCCAGCAACTGAAAGAAGCCTGGCTTCTTTCCCTTCTGAATGAGCCTCTCATAAACATCTGCAGGACTATAGAAGTATTAATAATTCATTGAAGAGTTTCACCATGGTTCACGGATGTCAAATACTGGGGTGAAATTTCTAACCCAACTTGCAACCAGCCTGGTTTTTAGCTGGTTCAGGTTTTCAGCCAAGCATGAGCTGCCATCTAAACAGGCCTGTAACACGAATTTGTTAGGCCAACCCCTCATAATTAGAGAGGTGACGATTTGTGCTGTCTATTCTACTGATATCAGCATGCTATGTTAATTGCTAAAGGTTAATTGAGTTGCCATCTTACTCTTATAAGCAGGCTATATGTAACCGAACCAGATTCTTTGTAATTTCTTTCAAATTCTCAATGTATTTCCCCAACTGGGTGTTTAAAAAAAAAAACAATAAACGGTAAAATTTTGGTGAATTTCAAAAGTGTCGCATTAGGTAAAAAGATAGGATTTCTGAGATTCCTTGGATGGCAGATAGAATCAGGATTTCATCCCAAATGACCCTGAAACATTCTACATGAAACAGTTTTCAATTGAAAGTAACAAGGTTTAAACTTCCCCTACATCAAATTCAGGTATAGGGTATAGCTTGATTGTCATCAAAGCATGAACTGAATGCATTTACTGAAGTACTGTAGTTTTACTTGCTGTAGAAATAAATCCACTTTCCGGAAAAATGCACATATTTATGTACCACATCAAAATGTAGAGGCAAAACATGGCATGCAATTTTTAAAAGCACTGGAAACTCACAATGGCGTAGCCAAGTGCTGACTTGTATGTTCCACACAAGTGGTAATTCAACTGAACTCTTCGCCAATTCAACACCCAAAATGTCAACATTTTTTGCACGCTCCCATCGTGGTTTGTGTGGAGAAGAATCTGTCCAACCACTAAAACCCAGGCCAGAAATAATCATAGAAGCTTCTGAGATTGACCAGATGAAGTAATATTTCCAACGTGCAGTAAAGCCAGACATGTATTGGTAACCCAACCGTTTCCAGAACCCGCATTCTTGGTATAAGGGGTCGGTAAACCAAGACAACGGGAAATGGGATACCAGATACAAATACAAACCCATACAAATAGCAGCTTGGAGAAGAGCTCTAAGTGTCGCCCCATAAGGTGATGGTGATGGTCCCTTCTCAGAATGCATCCAAATCTGGGACAGAGAAAGATCAAAACTAAACCTAACAAACTCGAATGAGAAAATTATCTAGAAGCACAATAGAACTATATAAGTAACTTACCCCCTTCTTTTCAGTCCAGTCAAGATAATCCTTCATTTCATAAACAGGACCAGCAAAGTGACTTCCACAACAGAGGCAGTAACCAAAGTACTCGGTTATTGATGGCAACTTAAGCAATCGGTTTTTCTTCTGTGCCTCACGCAGGTTTTCCTCTTTCAATACCCCATCATTGTAATTTATCACACAAGAAATGACTTTCAACGTTATCACCATTAAGGATCCTACACATGGGAGGAAAAAAGAACCAAATTGTCTAAGTGACAAGAAAATTTTAAATTTAAAATTAATTAGAAAAGAGAGAATAAATCTAAAACATCTCGATAATAAAGACTTATCGTTTGTACTTGATAAAATTCAAAGAACTGGTGAAATTGTGCTTTGAAGTTCGTATTTCCTCATATACCTCAATTTTATTGCATCACAAAAGTTCCATATTGTTACTCAAAATTCATCTTCAAAAGCGTCATTTTGTTACACCCAAAGAGTACATATATCACTCTTGCACCAAATAAAAGATGAAACACAAGGGACTTAAAAACTAGCCGATAGTGCTTACCAGTGGCATCAATACCTCCTTCTTTCCATGCATCCCCGCTCATGTAGTATACATGGCTACACATATATAGGAAAAGTCAAGAATTTTGAATACCTTCATTCAAATTGCAGAATTTCAAAAAAATCAAATATTGCGGATATATAAAGAAGATACACTGGCTGTAGAAATCAAAAGGCCATAAGGGATGGGCTATGTATACAAACACACACCTAATCACAAATATATATTTTTTTTTGTTTTAAGAAGACCATTTGCCAGACAGTAAATATGAATAAGACTGTCAGCAAATGTTGCTCATCCCAACTAGGTGATGTTGTTTTTTCTTTGAATACTGTAAGGTTGTAAGACTATGGGGTATAATAATGTACCTCTGCATAGTATATGAAGTAACAAGCACTGAAACCCATGAAACCATGCCCAATTGCATTAGACATATATACATTGTCAACACTTTTAAAGATTACAATTCCCATTATAGAAGGGGGTGAACTAAAGTAGAAAAAAGCAAGTCTTTCTAATAGTTCGAGCAAGCCCAGGTCATAATTCAACAGAATCAACCACATAAGCACACAATAATCAAAAGAGCGGATTAAGTACCATCCTATGAGGTAGCCAAATCCCAAGAAGAAAGTAATGATCCCACAATACCGACGACACAACACCATTGAAGCGTAACCCAAGAGCATGGGGACCAAGAAATGGAGATTGGAGGTGAAGCCGAATGAGAGATAAGAGAGAATAGCACCGGACAAGGCGGCGTAGAGGTGTTTGGTTGGTGGTCCGCCGGGGATGAGTCGCCAGAGGAAGTTAACGGGAATTGTCGCCGCGAAACAGAGGAGAAAACGGAGTACCGGCACCGAGACTCCGATAGCCGACGCCATTGATTCCATCTCCATGGCCTAGACGTATAACTCTTAGCTCAAGCAATCTTGCCAAAACTTACAGTATTTGGTTTGGAGGAAGGCGGAAAAGAGGAGAAAATAGCGGGTGTAACGGTTAAGCCGACTTGCTTAACGGTGATACTCATATATCACCTAACACCACCATACACATACAATAAAAATATAATAAATAAATTCATAAATTTCATATATTACAATAACAACACTTATCGTATCATTTAATAATCAGTCAAGTAAAATTTACTTTACTCGTTTTTCATTAAGTATCATTGTTACGCTAAATATTTACTCGTTGAAAGTAAATTTTATTATATTTCTTTTATTAGATATTTACGTCACGTCATGTCATGTGCTGGAGTGAAGTAACCATTACACCCAAATATTTAGAATTTTTTTAAATTCCTACCATTTTCCTTGCAGATCAAAAAACAAATAGAGTAAATTACATTTAAACGCGTTGAAGTTTGTTATTAAGTTACATAAACCCCCTCAAATATAAAATATAATATTTTGCTCCCTTGGAGTTTGGTATTATAGAGATGACAATGGACTGAAAAAAACAACAATTCGTTAAAACTTGTCTCATTTGAATCAGTGATGAACTATATATATTGAACGATAAACGTACACGAAGATATCTGTATAAATGCGTGCAAGAATAAATGTAAGAATGTACTAAAATTTATTTTGCCCTACCCCATCCTGCTAAACCCGTTAATTTTAAAACCCCCAAAATGTTGGGGATTGACATGAATGGGTATGTTAGGGACAATTGCCTCATTGATGGGTTAATATTTAATGTAACCGTTGTCACGTAATATAATTATCTAATAAAAAAAATATAAATTAAATAAAATGGACCGTTTTTTCTTTATATAGAGACAATTATATATTACATAGATAGTGATTATTGAATTTTGTAGGGTGCATTTGTCCACTTGTTTACTTGTGTTTTTGTTAGTGTAAAATTACATTGAGTAGCACTACTGACGTAATGTAACTGTTACACATAATATTTTATTCATAACTAAATTATTAATAGACTTGGAGATTTAGAATCACTTAAAATTACCAAGTTATTAAATTATTTTATTAACATGTTCAAAGTTCAACTATTTATATAGAAATAATATTCTTTAAATCTCATCAAAAAAACCCATTAGAGAAAAAAAAAACTATTCTCTAAAGAAATGAAGATAGATTGAGCTAATCCAGTTAATAAAAGTTAGTTAATGAACTAGAGATTTTTAAATTCAAATATCAAATTAATTAACAATCATATATCTATTTTAATTCTTCTAGGTATGTAATTCTTTAAATGACGAAATTACTTGTATATATGAGTTAGTTAAAAATCTATATAATATTACAGGTAAGAACCTGAATTCTCAACTTATAAAAATATAATAACCATCAATCTTTATCTAATTTTTATCTTTTTTGATCCAATAATATAAAATTTATCCCCACTTTTTTTTCTCGCTAAGAAATATCATATTTTCTTCATAACTCTAAATATTGAACAGCTCAACAAACACAATTTCTAATGTTAGACATGCAACCCTACAAATTCACAAGTCATTCTATTTATACATAAAAATTTGACATAATTTATTGATTTCATTAAAATTATTGGATTAACATCAAGTTATAATGTTTAATAGGATTTGTATTCAATTCAAATGTCATAATTAATTAAATCAATAAATAAAGTCTCAATAGCATTACTCCTAATTCGCATCTACTTATCTTATTTTTTTTATGTTCACTTTAATTTTAATTAAAAAAAATTATTATTTAAGATATAATATATTGCATTATCAAGGTTCGATTTTAAATATTAAATAATATCTTCAGGCACGGAATTATTACTAGTAATCTTATATACCAAATAAATATATGTCAAATAATAAAATAGAATAATAATTGATTATATTAAAATAATATAATATAATCTTATTACACTACCAATAAAATATAAAATATTTATAAGCATTAATTTTTTATTAAAAAAAATGGAGATAGTGATAGCGAAAAAAGTGATTTAAATATTTAATGGTACCTAGAAATCATCAAAAGTATTTAATGGTACCTTGAAATTATCGATGGTGCTGAATTAAATAGACGTTTTGGGAAGAATATGCTAATGTCACGGGCCGTCACAGGAAGAATATGCTAATTACATTTAGGAAATATTCGCGAGCACAAAAATCGAGGGCAGAAAAAAGCTTGCTAAGGATTCGATTACAAGAAAATAAAATTCAGATACACGGTGATAACTATGTAATCATTCACACGTGTTATAATCGAGAATTAAAATTTTATTTTGGTACATTATTTAGGTTATTTAGGAAACAAAAACATATCGACATGTTTTAAAAATATTTTGATCAATTTTCAAAAACATAATAAAAAATTTAAGAATTTTGTTTTTAAAAATATTGATCAAAATATATCAAAGAAATACCTTGAAACATTCTAAAATAATTGTGCAAATGCACTGAAATATAACAAAACACTTCGAAATATTATGAAACATCTCAAAATATTAAAATTTTAATTTCATCACTAATTTATTTTGATCACTTTAAAACAAAAATATTTTAGACATTTCGATTATTTCGAAACAAAATTTTGGCCTACTTATATAACTATTTTGTGCCTCTTCGATCCATCAAAATTTTAGATATGTCTACGAGAGACGATGGTTCATGTAGTCGAACCCAAAATTATTAAGATAAATTTTTGTTGAATTGAATTGAATTGAGTGTTGTATAATGTTGTAATGGTACCTTTACGACTTGCTAACATAGGTTCGAACAAGGAGTCAGTGTAAAAAAAAAAAAAAAAAAATCAATGTTCGAGCCCTCTTTTTTTTTATCATATGCGTTTAGCCTTATGTCAATTATTCTCTTGAATTTAGTGATTGATCACCGTGGTTTAAATTAGGTTAGAGCACATCCCTAAAGAGATAAAAGTGACTAATACTTAAAGGGTGTGAGCAGGGACAGCCAAAAAATTGTGGGCACAAATATTTTAATAAATTATTATTTTTTTCTTACGATTGATAGAAATAACACAATAATTTAATTAATTATATCCTATTTAATATTTAAAAGTTCATTAAACCCAACATACTAAAATTTGGTAAATTTAGTATATACAAACGACAATACCTTTTTTTTTACAAAATATTGACTAAATTGAAATCATTTAGAATTAACTTCAATGAATTTTTGTACTTTGAAAATATTGTATAACAATTTTATTATTCTTTATATACACAATTATGTTATCATTTTGGTATTTATAATTCATTTGATCGATTATGCAGTTCAATGTGTACTTTATAATTTCTATCATAATTAGCAAAAATAAATATCAAAATCACAAGAAAAATATATATATCATGTCTTTTTTAATCTTTTTAGTCTTAGAAAGTATAAAATAATTCTAATATATTCAAAATTTATCTAGATAGGTGCATAACCTGTCCAAAATGTATCAAAAAATTTATATTCATTTGATATAAGTATACACTAATTGATGTGCCAAAAAAACATAGGGTGGACATAATTAAAATTATTGAAGAAATACTTAAAATACATATTCGTTATATTATAACGGTGGACCTAATATTTTTATTTTTATTTTGGGTGGGCACAAAAAATATATTATACAAATATATAATATACACACCTAAGTAATAAAAAAATTAAGGGGGCACACTTGCCCACCTTGTACCATAGCTGCCTCCACCCTTGGGTGTAAAAAAGAATTGAACAAGATATTTCTAGATTACTCAACCACCGTTTTTGTGCACCTGTATATCTATACTACTAATAAAAAGAAATTAAGTAAAAAAAATTTGATTAACTATTATATTCCTATTAAAAAGTTAAAACCAACTATATCATTATGCATTTAATATCATGTATTCATTATATATTCAAATGACCCTTTATATGCTTCCTCTTCCAGAAAAATAATTGTTCCTTATAGTGTACATTTATTTATTTCACAAGTTGATGACTGTCTCTCTCAAATTATTTTCACCAACCATTTGGTTTATAATATGACCATTATCTAATTCTATTTTTGCAGCCACTTCGTTTCCACTTAATTTTCTATTGATTCATTGAAACACTTGTACATGATTGTTCAAATAATAGTATATAATAAGTCACTTTTTACCTTCAAATAATTGGACTTTTAATCTTTATACAACACATACTATAAAAGCTTCTACATTGTTTCATTTATTTTTTAACCTTTCAAATTCTAACTTAATATTGATTGGTCGGTTTGAACATTTTTATTTCATGTATATTCTCTCTTCTTTTGTAACAATCGAAATACAAAAGTCAAAAAAGTCCTGTAATTGTTAAGTTCCACAATTATCTGAATTATTTTCTTTATTTCTCTTTCCACCAACCAATTGACCTAATTTTTTGTACTTGTTTTTGTATTTTGTGTGTTAATGTGTATGTTCCATTTATTTTATGATTCTAATTAAGGTCTGATCATTTTGATAGTGAAAAAAACTCAACATCTAAGAGTGTGTAGACGATGGATAACATATGAAGACGAGGATCTGGTATGAGGTATGACCAAAATTTACATAGTTTTGTTCAATCTCACTATTTTGTATTGATTTTGACTAGATAAAATGTTGAAAGAATTAGACAAATTTATTGGATTTGGTCAATGTAGATATAGACTTTCAAGAATAGATGATCAAGTACAAAACACAAAAAAATAATTTATCAAAACACAAGAATATTACTATCTACTAAGATGTGCAAATCCTCTATATTAAGGCAACATAAATTTTATATAGCTATCTATTGCTTTGTCTAATCTAACATAACTATCAAAGATGCCCATGCATTCATTCCTCATAATTTTAAGAGGTAAATTTATTTGATTTGTCGTTAGTCTCACAGCTTTGCTCAGCGACCATGTTCTCAAGGTGTAAAGACTAATATAATGAAGTAAAAAAATATCTAAGCTGACCTGTAACTTTGGCCACTTGGCACTGCACCTAATCAAGGTTATGAAAAAAATGAAGAAATATTCTCTGCCAAAGAATTTCTTATAGAATCTTGATAACTTTAGTTAGAAATCTATTTTATTTTTTAGATGATAGGAAATAAATTAAATTGAAATAAAATATTTAATTTTTTTTCCTAAAAGTTTGCGGGTATTAAGCTAACCTTGACAAAAATATTCCTCTTAGGATAAGAAAACAAAATTATAATTTAAAATAATTCAGGTACAACGCGCATGTATATACCGACTAATTAATGAAAAAGCAAAAAGAAAGAAGGTCGTCGAACTAACATGTAGCTGGTTAGCCTGGTGGGTAGGGGTAGAGCTGGACTAGGTATTTTAAGGCCCATTATATCTGGCCCACTGATTGGTCCATTTATGAGTCTATTTAGAGTTCAAAGTCGGCAGGGTGTGGACCTGGGTAGGAATGGGCTGGTTATTGTCGTCAGCCCAATCTGTTTTACTTGTCAGTGTCTGATTAAGTCGGCCAATAATACAAGTATGGGCCGGAACTGATCTGACCCGGATTGTCCCCTACACAAAATTATTAGGGTTAATCTCATTTTACACCCCAAAAGATCGTTCGAATCTCAATTTGCACCCTTAAAGATCAAAAATCTTAATTTATACCCTCAAAGATAGAAATTTGTATCAATGTGCACCCCCAAAGATCAAAAATCTCAATTTGCACCCTCAAAGATAGAAATCTGTATCAATGTGTATCCCAAAGATAAAAAATCTCAATTTGCACCCTCAAAGATATAAATTTGTATCAATGTGCACCTAAAATTAAATTGATAAATTATACCTAAATCCCCTCATATTTGTCAGTTAATCATTTAGACCTCTTCATATTTAAAATATTATTCCTACATCTTATGACATTTGTGCACGTATAACACGTAACTCATTTTCATTGATATCTATTAATATAACCGTTAAAAAATATAATTTTATCCTAATAAAAAATTATAATTTCATATTACCCTTTATTTTATAGGTTCAATATACTATAAAGTTCAAAATCTAGTTTACCATTTGAATGTCTAATAAAATATAAATATTTATATAATATTTTCATATTACCTTTTATATAAATATATACATTTTATTAGACATTCAAATGGTAAGCTTGATTTTCAACTTTAGAGTATATCGAATTCACAAAATAAAAGGTAATATAAAATTATAATTCTATATTAGGATAAAATTATATTTTTTAACGATTATATTAATATATATCAACGAAAAGTGGTTATGTGTTACACATGTATAAACGTCATAAGATGTAAGAGGAATATTCTAAATGTGAAGGAGTTCAAATGATTAAGTGACAAACATGAGAGAATCAAGGTATAATTTATTAATTTAATTTTAGGTGCACATTGATACAAATTTCTATTTTTGAGGGTACAAATTGAGACTTTTGATCTTTAGGGGTGCACATTGATACAAATTTCTATCTTTGAGGGTGTAAATTGAAAATTTTGATCTTTGAGGGTACAAATTAAAATTCTAACAATCTTTCAGGGTATAAAATGAGATTAACCCAAATTATTATCTTCCTCATCCTTTGAACCCTAAGTAGGCCGAGTTCATCGACAGTCTGTTGCTTGAATCGTCGTATTCAAACCCGGCCCGGACCTCAGGGTTGACCCGGTGAACAAACCGAGCCGGGTAGTGTATTAGATCGTTTCAGCATAAAACTCGGTCAAAACCCATTGAACCGGGCGGTTGTTGCCCAAACCCACTAAACCGGACGGTTATTGACAACCCAGGCGGGTCAGTTTAAAGACTATTTAAGTTAGATTTTTGGTCTTTTTAGGCATTTTTGCCCTAACCTAGTCGCTCAGCCTCTGCCTCTCTCTCAACTCAGAGACTCTTTTTCTCTATCACCGGTGAACAAATCAGCCCTCTCTCTCTCAGTCGAACTCGAATGAATCAAGCTCTCTCTTAGTCGAACTCGAACGGTGTAGCCCCTGTCAGTCGAACTCAAACTCGAACGAATCAACTCTCTCTCTCTCCCAATCGAAGTGTCGAAGGAAGGCAATATCTTATCCTTCACTTAACAGGTAGTTCATCACTCACCTCTCTCTCAGTCTCTTTGCGCTCAGATGGTGGTGAATTGGTAATTGTAGCTTCGATTTGCCAGTTTTTGGTTAATTATTTTATGAATATTAACTTAGTTCAATGAAAAATTTGGAAAATTTTAGCTTATTTTCTGTCGATATGTTATGATTGGTACCATGTGGTTGATGAATCTTGAGCATTCAATTTGGTGTAGTTGATGAATGTTTGTTGTAGTTGATGAATCTTGAACATTTAATTAGATACATGTTTGATAATATTTTTATTTTTTTTGATTTAATTGGCGTAATTGGTGGTGTAGAATATTTCCTTTCCTACTGGTCTGCATTTATTTCCTTTCTTCATTTCCTTTCTGATCTACATTAGATACATGTTTTTTTATTGTAGTGAAACAGCCATTGTACATAATTCAGATCAAATGAACGACTTTTATTTTGAGAAACAGCCATTGATACACATCTTTGTTCTTCTCAACAGATTGTGTTTTTTTTTTCTATGTATCACATGTAGATTAACTCTGATATTTTAATACTTATTTTTATTTTTTTAGCATATTTATAATTAATAATAATAATTTTTTTTTTTTATATAACCGATTTGACCAGTAACCCATTCACCCGGTCCTTTTACCGGGTTGATGTCCAGGCCGGGTTTAAAACTATGGTATTTGGACCTCTCACTCATACACATGACAGGTTTTTTACTTTTAAGGTTTTCCCCATTCTACTTTCAGGGGAAGAGTTGAATGCAACGATTGCAATGAAGAAGCCCGACAGCACTGTCGTCGTCAGTTCAAGTAAAATTAAGTTCGATGACAATGAAGAACTCAAATCTTCATCCGAAGATGTGTGTATTATTAAACATTTAATTCCTTTACATATTTCAGCCAGAAATACGATATGAATGGAACGACTACAATTTTAGTATCGAATTTTTGCAGGAGGAGGACATAGAGCGTGAGCTTGCGGATGTTACATTGGAGGAGCTACTAAAAGCACGGTCCGATGGGTCAGACACGTTGTATCGGAAGCCCAATTCAGAGAAAAAGGGTGGCCGAGCAAACAAGAATAGGTATTCAATCGAAGCGTTTTTTTTAAAAAATAAAATAAAATTTGGTGGTTCTTATTGTTTTTGTGTTTACTTTCACTTTTGGATTGTGGGTGTGAAGGCCAATGGAGATTAGTAGCAAGAAGCCGGTTAGTAGATTTAGAGAAGTCATCAAGTTCCTAAACAGGTGAGTTGTGCTTACATCTCTTTCAATAGAATTGTTAAAAGCTGCTAGTCTTGAAAGTTATGTCAATCCATGTTGCTCTGATGTTGTATTTTTCGTAAATACTCATCAATAGACTACTACTACAGTGATAATGCTACTATTACAATTTTTTCTAATAAGACATCTAGAGCAGATGCCAAAACACAAGAGAGAATTCCGAAAAAGAGCACAATATAACCAAAAAGAGGCGGACATAGGAAATCAATCTCCGGAAAGGATCCACCCATACCTCTTGGTTGATTCAAGGTTGTGAAAATTATGGGTGGCCATAGTTGGTTAGACCCAATTCTGATATAGTATTTTTAGGCACTGGATGACATATATCTTTTTAGGCATTTGGCATTAGGTCTTAGTAAGGGTTTTTTTTTTTTGGCCTTTCTAGTCCGAAGAGCAGCAGCCTTGGGTACAGATTCCGGAAGAATAATATAGTTCAGGACAAGGTCAACTACGAGTGTAGTGTATTATAAAAGCTTTAACACTGCAGCAGAATGACTCGAAACTAATTCTCCAGTCATGCCTGGCAACAGTGAAGCCACATTAGTTGTTTCGCTATTAAACATTCAGCTACAAATTTCTGCTTATCTTGTTTATTGAGTTTTTTTACAAGTATGTTTTATAAGCTCATTGATTATATGTATCCTTGTGCAAATTAATATAAATGTTATGTCAGGTGGTGCGTGACCCTCGTTTTGAATCATTATGTGGCAATCTTGATGTAGATGGGTGAGTCTCTCTCTCCCCCTCTGTCACTCTAATATGTCCAGGACGATGTTTACTGATTTATCTTTAGTAATGCAAGTGTGATGGTCACCTTGGTTTTTGAGTTTCTGTGATTTATGAGCTAGTCGCTACACACCAATGTTTGAGTCATTTTGTTACTTTGTATTCTTTTCTCAATTAATTTGGCAGAGAAAATAGCCATAACACACCAATTTCGACTATAATATCTTCATTTATGTGATAGCATCATTGCATCAAATGTTGAGTCCTAAACTGCTCTGAAGTTTTTTTGTTGGCTTTATTTGGTCTGCTTACGTAGGACCCACACTTTTATGATTTAAAACTCCATGTCGTGGCTTACATGTACATTAACTTTTCATCAGCCAGTATACACCTTTTGTTGTACATGAGTTTAGTAGCACAACTTGGTTTAGATCCTCTGGGCCTCTGGGGTGCGTCTCCTGTTCAGGAAGTGTAATTTTGATTTTTTGGATTGGTACCATAAAGATTGTTGCATGCCTGCAGACAAACACGGTTTTAAGATTATAGTGCACAACTGTTCCCAGCTTACAGTTATATCTTCTCAAAATGCTTTGTTAAAAAGATGGACTTATGTTTCAACATGCTAATAAAAGTAGATGTGCAGAGAACAGTGGGAGTTGGGGAACCATCCAGTGTCTCTGTCTCATGAAAAAATTTAAGGAGAGCAACGTGTCTTTAGGAATGTGGAGGAGAATTTGATTTGAGATTTAAGCCATCAATGCTCAATGCTTTATGGTATATGATTTGAGGAATTTCCCAGTTTTATGACACCTGTAGGTTTCATAGGTGACTGAATTTGATGTTAGCTTCTATCAGCCAGGGGCGGAGCTACCTTAGTCCCCTCACTTTTGAATTATTACACATATATATGCTAGAAGGCTAATACACAAGGAAATTGATACATTGCCCCTCTTATTTTTCAAAAAAATTGTACAATGAATTGATTTTTCATTAAGTAGTGGCTCACCATCCCTAAACCAGATAAATGATTTTTTTCTGATTGAGTACAATGGGAGTGAAAGTCCTAACTTATATATTGATCAATAGACAACGATTACATTTGATACTTTATCCCTATTTTCTAAAAAATATTGCATAACTGGCCTTCATATTTTTTTTGGGGTAATTTAGTGGCATGTAATCCTGTAACACAATTAGATGCAAATGGTATAATGTTCTAGCCCAAAACTTTTTTTTCCCCTTTTCCAAGGAACTAATTCTTCAATAAGACGAAAGATGATCTCAACTAATCTTCGTAATAATATGAAGAACTAATCAAGTATATATTATTTTGGGATTTGAAAGAGTATCTTATTCTACTTTAATGTGATTGTGTTGAATTATACAAAATAAAAATTATTTTGTACTTTTTGTTTATATTTGTTAAGGTTAAATGTTCTCGATTTTATGTTTTATTGAGTAAATTCATCTTAAATTTTCGTACATTTCTCATGCTTGAAATTCTAAAATTTTATGTTAATATTTTGCCCCCTCGTAAGGATTTTTGGCTCCGCCCCTGCTATCAGCAACTGTATATTGCACGTATACAGGTTATGTGCCATCTGATATTCTCTAATTACACACCTATGTGTAACGATCATTACCTAGTGCGATCTCGCTGATGCAAGGGGTTGGAAATGGTAGATTGGCGATAGACCTAACCTTCGACATGGGTGGAGAAAGTGGCTGCTCTGGAACCTGAACCCATTTTACATGTTTGACTGCCCAAGACTATACAATTGAATAAGCAATGGCCCCTAATTTTGCTGTTGTTTCTGAATCACAAATAAATAAATCTTTTCTAAATCATTGTATTTATGTGCCTGACAATAGGATTCATGCCATATTAAAAATGGTATTGTGTGTCTGATCTTAGCTGAGTATGTTAAAGTGGACGCAGTAAAATTTTGACCATTATGACTTACAAGTTTTTGCAGTGTGGGTTGTGGACTGTTTCATGCATATGTTTTTCCTTTTAAATCGCGTCGTATTTTGGTCATTTACATTGTTGCTCAGTATTTTCAGGGGCTTATAGGCATTATTTCCTTCGTTGCATGCCACGTTTTATGTATTTGGAAGCATAGTGTTGTATTTTTGATAATATGCATTTTGGATCTTTTAGGTTCAAGAAGAGATACAATTTTCTTTATGAGAATAATCTTCCTGCTGAGAAAGAGGTATGTTAGGAACTTCAGGAAATATAGAAATATAGAAATTCAACACTTTTATATATATTTCTTTTATAGGCGATTCAGGGGTTATATTTATATCGTCAGTGACCTTTTTGTGGCGTTGGCAGGAACTAAAGAAATCGATGAAGAAATCAAAGGACTTGGAAGTCATTAATGAAATGAAAGATCGCATAGGTTGGATTGTAAGTGCTTATGCAAGTAAAAAGCAGCTGCCATGTTGAATCATTTATCTGACCATTTTAAATTTATTTTTCTATTTCTCCCCTGCTGTATATAATTTTATTCACTTTTTAATCTATTTGCTTTTGTTCCTGGTGCGTATTAGGACCAACAACTGAAGTCTGCATCAACAAAGCGTACTGATAAAACAATACTGGCTGAGCACAAGAAGAAAGAGAGAGAAGCTGCAAAGCAAGGGAAAAAACCATTCTATTTGAAGAAATGTAGTGTTCTCTTTGTCTCTAATGTTTGTGTGTTGCACCATTGATACTTCTGGAACATACCTTTAGTAAGCAAAGGTTACAACTTACAAAAGCTATCTAGCAATCAAATAGCCAGCAATTGGAGAGGCCTGAACTGACCCATTTACTTCAGAAGCAAACTACTGCCTGAAAGGGATATATTATTGGGAAATAAGGGATAGGGATAGATATAGGACTGCAGATGATAATCATTATGGTAATAGACACATTATGGTAATAGAAAAATGACTATTTATCGTAGCAGTACTTTATTTTGCTTTCCTTGAGAGGCATTTTTTTTTTGGTATTCACCTTTCCTGTGTTCAAACTATCTTGACTTGGGTTTCTAAATACTATTTAATGGGTTGGTCATGAAACACTTAAAAAGTGTTGTAATGATGTTTCATATACTAGTGAAACTACAAATTGTTCATGGACTAAATGGTTCTTTTTTGTTTTTTGCAGCTGAAATCCGGAAGCAAAAGCTTACTGAGAAATATACCGAACTCCAGGTATGTATGATTTGATCTGTTCGAATACAATGGTATGTAGTTTCTGTACTCAGTGATTACCTTTTGTGATTTATCAGACATCTGGAAAAATCGAGTCCTTTATCGAGAAAAAGAGAAGGAAGAATGCTGCAAAGGACCACAGATTTATGCCATATCGACGTCCCAGCAACAACGAGTAACTAAACTAGTAGCTTTCTTACTTGCTTCCTAGGGGGTGGCTGTGCTTTGATATGGGAGGTTCAGGGGCTTTCCCTTGTGGGACAAAAGGTGCTACAGATTTTTCCTCCAATTTTGTTGTGGATGTTTTGTTGGCCTGACAATCAGACTAAGATTTTTGTTGTTTGAATTGGTCTGAGTTTTGGTGTGCCCTTGAGACATATGCTCTCTACCACCAGCCATTTTGATGACCAGCCCAAGCTGGAGAAGTGTGTTAACTGTGTTAATGGATTATATTATGGGAAATTGTGAAAATGTATACCATAAACTACTTATTTGTGAAAAAGTATTTTAATATAAATCTTCTGTGGAAGATAAATTAGACAGTTAATTGTGGATTCAGTTTCTTATTTTATTGATTCTGTTTTAATGGCCAAGTATTTTCTTAAATTAAAGGATAATTAACCTTTAAATTTTGAAAGGATTCCATTAGTTTTAAAAGATTTTCTATTCTCTCCCTGTATCTGATTTTTACTATTAATATCTCTCTCTATTTTATTCTCTTTCCTTTATTTTATCTCTTCCATTGTTACTCTCCTCTTCCTATTCTCTCTCTCTCTATTTATTCTCTTTCTCTCTCCTCTTTATTTTATCTCTCTTGTTACTCTCCTCTCTCTATTCTCTCTCTCTCTCTCCTTTTATTTTTTCTCTCTATTTAATGTTACATTTAAGTCACATTGTATGATACCCACCCTATGCAAAACATTGCATATGATGTTTGTTTTGTAATATGACATTGGAGTCATTTTTTATGCCCACGCCATAAAAAAATAATGTATATGATGTGTAGTTGCATTGTGACATTGGATTCACATTGTGATATTCACCATATATGTTTAAATCTTTATGTGAGTCACATTGTGAGACCATTCATGTACAAACATTGTATATGGTATCTATATGCAGTGTGACATTAATGCCACATTTATGATGCTCACAGTGTGACCTACAAGTAATATATTTTATGATGCTCATAGTGTGATCCACGAGCAGTATGATATTAAGTCACAATATGTGTCATAATTTTTTTGTCACAAAATATATATTGAGAGAAAAATAGTCTTTATCTTCGAAAGTATTTAAAATTAAAGAATTTTGATTTTGTTTTAGTTGTATTTTGGTCACAATTATATATTATATATATAATATAAAACATGACAGATTTCTGTAAATCCATCCGACGGTTTCAAATAGATTTATTCAATTACTATCAACATCCTTCTTAAAACCATTTATATTTCACTGTACTTTCAAGTATAAGTATTAAAGAGAGAACGAAATAGTTCTAATATAAGAAAATCTTAAAATTTAAGAATTTGAGAAAGAATTTAAATTAAGAAATTAAAAATTTATTTAAGTTTTTTTTTTATCAAATTTAAGTTTTGAATTTAGTTATATATATATGAGATATAAAAAGAGAGAGAGAAAAATTCTAATATAAGAAAACTCTAAAATTTAAGAGTTTTAGTTTTCAAATTAATTAGTTTCCTTATCGGATTTTTTCAACAGTGATTTGATGATGGTCGAGGGTATTTTTCGTTAATTTTGCTCCAAAGTTTACATTTTTACCAAATATTTTTAAAGTTTGTATTTAAAGTTAAATAAGTTATACAAAGTATACTGACTTTCAAAAAATTCTTATATTATTGAATTGGTTGTGGATCTCAATAAATATTAAGATCTACTGTGAATCTAACGGTTATGACTGATTAGATTGATAAATTAGATTTAAATAAATAGTATTGCTCTTTTATAAATGTCTCTTTACAATTGAAAAATGTTGATTTAAACTGCACTTCTAAGGAAACTAAGGTGGAATGAAAAGTAAGTTGGAAACTATTAAGGGAAAAAAAAAATTAAAATGAGAGTTGTTTTTAGTTGAAAAAAAATTGTAAAAATTTGATAATTTTCTCATTTTTTATTATTTTAATTGAGAAATTAAAATGATGTAATCGAATCTTGATTAGCTTGTGCGGGAGTTTAAATTAAGAGACAAGAAGCAGCTAGTTTTTTTTTTTTTTTTTTCATTTTTTTGGTTGGGCATCAGCGAGAATCAAAATTCGTTTCGGTGTATTATTTTAATCATCTAGAAAACGGAAATATTTTGACTCGTTTCGAAAACAAAATTAAAAAAATAAAATTTTAAAAATTATTTTTTCAAAATATTATTTGAAATATCTCAAAATATTTGAAATAATTATGTAAATGTATTGAAATATAATAAAAATATTTTAAAATAACGTTTCTATTTCTCGAAAATTGAAACGTTTTAAGTATTTTGATTGTTTCGAAACGATATTTTGAGCGATATAAGAAAATCTGAGTGTAACACGTGGCGTTACTTGTAAGTGACGCGTGTCCACTACCAGAAACTGTCACTCACTTCCCGCGAATTATAAAACTTTGCATAAAACACAGGACTAGAGCTTTCTCTACTCTAAAGCCATAGCGGTGCCGTACACATCCGCAGAGCCTTGCAGAAACTTCTTCAATTTCTAGGGTTAGTGTCTCTCTCTCTCTCACGGTCTTTTGACTTTCTTTTCGCTTTCTTCGATACTGCTTTGGTACGTTTTATGGGGAGAATAAAAAAGTCGCAAAGCATCTTCTTTTGCTTCTCCTCTGTTTGGTTGCTGCTAAGAAAACGTGAGCAAAGTGAAAGAAAGTCCGGTTCTTTGGTTTTTTTTCTCCTCTACAACTGAAGAGGTCACACCTCTTCTTAAATGATCAGCCTACTAAAGGCTTGAATGTGGTGAGTACTTGACATTCTAGATAACTTAAACCATGATGAACAATAGTGTTGGTGTCCAAACGGAAGATTTGGGATTTTTAATTTTTTCTCAGCAACAAAACAGTGATGTCATGGGTGCTTTGCTATTGTTGATGGTAGCTATTTAATTGCATTCTCTTTGAACTTGTTGGCAGAGTTCATATTTCATACCCCACCCACACATTGAAAAATGACACTTCTGTTTCTATAATTATCATTTCCCCATTTTAAAATGTTGAAGGCAATACACCCTTATAGTACTTGGCTTTTTGCTCAATAATGCTTTTCTGCAACTGTTGGAATGTCATTATGATTTTCACATTTGTGCATTGTAGCTTATGTAATTGGAGATATATTTGATATTTATCAGGGATTTGCAAATTTTTCAGGGGGTGATTTACTGCTTGGCCAGAAGGAGAAAGGGAAAATTTGTGTGAGAATGCAAATAATTGTTGCCTCGTTGGTTTCACTTTGCTGTTTTTGGGTGTGTTGTATGAGGGTTCTTGTAATTCCATTGAGATTGTTTTTATTTCCTTAGATTCTGCTAGGGATGTCTTTGGAAACTTGATATCTTTGGAAACTTATTGGGAATCCAACTGCGAGTTAGCAGTGCTCCAGAGGCACTGCATCATTGGACTGAAGAATTTTTGGAGTCTTTAAGTTCTAGCATCTCACTTCAAACTGGTGAGTCACTCCAAAGTTACCACTCACTTGAGTTAGCCGGCTTCTATAGTTATCACTGCACATTTGAATGCAAATTTGGTCACTGATGATGAAAGCTCAACAGTTTTAAACAACTCTTTAAGTTATGGACCAAGTGTTGGCGCTAGTTCTTTGATCACGGATGCCAATTCACCAGTACCAGGTGGTACTCAAAAAGTGGCAATACCAGCTAACCTTACCCGAACTTTCCCTCATCACCCGTGTCATTCTCATCCCATAATTTAGGAACTTCTGCTATGGATGGTTTCTCTGTAGCACAGCAAATCTCCCACCTAAATCAAAGCTGTGGACAAGGGCATAGAAGGCAGCGACCACAACAGCAGATGGATTATAAATCTACATCCCAGACAATATCAGAAATGCATCATGTTTCGGTTCATTCTGGCATAGAACAGGAGCCTGATACTTCAACCCAAATGCACAAAAAGGCCAAACAAGACATCAACCAAGATGATGTTCTGCACCAGCAGATCTTTCAGCAACTACTTCGGAAGCAGGGTCCCATGC